TCATGGACTACAGGAAACGGTGGGCCGAGCACGCCTCCATTCACATCGACCGGGCTGTAGTGGAGCGGGTCGAGAGCTTCAAGATCCTTGGTGTCCACATCACTAGGGACCTTTCATGGTCCAAACACACCAACACAGTCATGAAGAGGGCAAGACAACACCTCTTCCCCCTCAGGAGGCTGAAAGATTTGGCATTGGCCTTCAGATGTAACCTTTATTTAACACACACACACACACACACACACACACACTACATACGCTCACACACACAAAACACACATACACGCATATTGCCGCAACACACTTTCACACTCTTCACATACGCTGCTGCTACTCTGTTTATTATATATCCTGATTGCCTAGTCACTTTTACCCCTACCTACATGTACATACTGTATTACCTCAATTACCTCAACTACCTCGTACCCCTGCACATTGACTCAGTAGTGGTACTCCTTGTATATAGCCTCATTATTGTTTTTATTGTGTTACTACTCCCTTTTTTATTTAGCTAATCTTTTTCTTACTTTTGAACTCTGCATTGTTGGGAACGGGCTCGTAAGTAAGCATTTCACTCTAAGTCTACACCTGTTGTATTTGGTGCATGTGACCAATACCATTTTATTTGATAACATTTAGGGGAAGGGTTAGCTAAAAGGGTTAAGGTTAGTGTTATTGGAAGGGTTAGCTAACAGGGTTAAGGTTAGTGTTATTGGAAGGGTTAGCTAACATGCTAAGTAGTTGCAAAGTAGCTAAAAGGTAGTCAGTAGTTGCAAAGTTGCTAATTAGCTAAAATGCTAAAGTTGTCTGTGATGAGATTTGAACATGCAATCTTTGGGTTACTAGCCGTTCGGGTTGCTAGACGTTCACGCCCATCCATCCATTCATCCCAACCAACCACCCTCCTTTCGTTTTTGCCTTAAGTAACCTATCTAATGTTGTAAAAACTATTGGTCGCTAAATGCGGAGAAATGACGGACCATGTAAAAATCTGTTGGTCACTAAATCCGCCTAGAACGACCATGTAAAAACAGTTGGCTGGTATGCCCTCACCCGTCTGAGCGGTCGGCTGTGAATGCCCTCACCCACTATTTACTTATTACTGATTGGTTTGGTTCTGTCCTCTATAGTGCTGTCCAGTTAGAACATGATGTTGAGGCCCATCACTGTACTCTTGATAGTCACCACCACACACACACAGACACAACTGTTTCCTTTGAATATGTTTAAATGTTTTTGGAAATCTTTTTAATTTTTTTATTTATTTATTTGAATGACATGGAAACTTATTGTTGTGGTTCTATAAGACAAAGATATGCACACATGTAAACAACATTAGTTAAGGGTTATAACTATACAATCAGTGGCAATATTAGCATGTAAATCTTGGTGGGGGGAAAAAACCAAAAGGTGGGATGCATGCCAGCAAAGGCACTACACAACACAACACTAAACAATACATTAATTGCACTATAATGGTGACAAACGGTGCCCGCAAACTGTTAGGGCCTACATAAAGCTGTCCCAACAGCAGAGTCCCAACAGCAGTCCCAACATCTTACCATTGCTACACCTGGCTATCAGCAGAGCCTTGTCTGGCAGTGAAACTGTTAATTCAGCCTCATTTACTGTCTTTAAAAAAACATAGCTGATATGGCTGACTTGGTTAAACAAATGTGGTATCTACTGACAATTGAAATGTACAAACTATGACATAAGGGGACGACAAGTGGATAAGAGGCAATCCGTAATTTCGATGAAGACATTAATAAGCGAGCTAGGACGGACGTAGTCAATATAACTATTTGTTCAGCACTTTTGAAATGTACAGAGACAGAATTCAGAACATGGGCTGTTCTTACAGTGTTCTCCCTGTACACCAAGTCAGAACCGTAGGATAAATAAAGGGGGCATATAAGCAGACAATGAAAGCTCTTACAATATTCAATGATTACATTTCTCTAAAACAGTTTATAGGCAACATGTGCACCACCAAGTCAGAACAGTAGGCAAAATTAAGAGGGGAAAATAGACCAAATTATTAGGGTGAGGCACATGGGCTACTAACAGCTTACTACACAACATACACTTAGTATTACTTACTTAGCTACAGAATACATATCTCCCTGGCATATTACATAATTTATGCAGCAGCATACAATACATTTTTGGACTCACCTTGTTGTGCTGTGATCACTTGAACAGGAAGATGGCGCGGTGGTCCTTCGTGGGAATATTTTGTCATCAAAGTCTGGCATTCACTGGATTTATGGTGCTTTCAAGACAACTGGGAACTGTGAAAAAAACAAGGTTGAATCATGATGACTTCAGTGATCTTCAGGTCGTAGCTCTAGAAAGAGGCCTGAGTTCCGGATTTACAATTCTGAGTTTGATGATGACTGCTAGCTAAGATTTTGAAAGTATGAAGTTGACATGATCAGTCCAATCAAAGCTACTGTAGATATAACGTGATTTGACGTCATTTTATCTGTGGCCAATGACCTTGAGTATTCTTGGATGGGCACTTCTAATGTAACTCTATGGCAGCACCCAAGGGGCTTGAATTTTCGAGCATTAACCGTTGTGTCACCATGAGTGACAGAACACTGAGCCAATCACAGCGCAACTAGAGAACATTACCAACACCTACTCTCCGTATTTTCCGCTGGCTGCCCCACCACCACAGAAAGTACTGAGCTAGGCTGAAACACCTGCATTTTGGAGCTACCTTACTCAAGAAAGCAAAAAAGAGACCATGTTTGTATGCGGCTTTATTAATTCAATGTTGATGTTTTTTTGTTTTTTACATTGTTTGCAAACTGATATGTGATACGTATTAATGGCAAAATAACATGCAAAACAGGCAAGACCAAAATAATTACAAATATATATTTATTTTGCTAAGAATGTGTGGCTCAAAACATGTGGGGCTCTGCCCCACCTGCCCTGAATGACGGGTCGCCACTGTATACAATGTCCATCCAGTACCAGTCAAAAATGTGGACACACCTACTCATTCCAGGGTTTGTCTTTATTTTACTATTTTCTACATTGTAGAATAATAGTGAAGACATCAAAACTATGAAACAACACATATGGAATCATGTAGTATCCAAAAAAGTGTTAAACAAATCCAAATATATTTTATATTTGAGATTCTTCAAACAGCCACCGTTTGCCTTGATGACAGCTTTGCACACTCTTGGCATTCTCTCAACCAGCTTCATGAGGTAGTCACCTAGAATGCATTTCAATTAACAGGTGTGCCTTCTTAAAAGTTAATTTGTGGAATTTCTTTCCTTCTTAATGAGTTTGTCAATCAGTTGTGTTGCGACATGGTAGGGGGGTACACACAAGATAGCCTTATTTGGTAAAAGACCAAGTCCATATTATGGCCAGAACAGCTCAAATAATCAAAGAGAAATGACAGTCCATCAATACTTTAAGACATGAAGGTCAGTCAATACAGAAAATGTAAAGCACTTTGAAAGTTTCTTCAAGTGCAAGACCGCCACAGGAATGGAAGACCCAGAGTTACCTCTGCTGTCAACAATAAAAAGTCATCAGAAACATGCATCTTCTCCCTTCCGACGACAATAACACTCTGACTTGAGTGGCGGGTGCAGTGTCCAGATGCGCATTTCCAAGCGCTCTGATTGGTTGGGAATTGCAGGGCTACGGTGGGTGGGGGATAACTAAGGTAGGCTGAGCATCCAAATTAACGGGATTTAAGGGAAACTGAAGGGACTGTGAGGGGAAGTTAGGTAGAGAGGAGAGGAGCAGTACGGGCATTTTTATTATTATTATTAATATTATTATTATTATTATTATTATATATTTTTTTCAAATGTAACCATAGTAAAGGTTTACATTAGTCTAGCAGACCAGTCTGGGCTGTCATGATTCATGTGAGTCGGTACGGGAGTTGCAGCGATGGGACAAGACTGTACCTACCAATTGGATATCATGAAATTGAGGAGAAAAATGGGTACAAATGATAAAAACTTTGTCGTGAGACCACTCTATGACGGGCTGGACATTGCACTCTCCCATGAGGTCGTTCTACACTTTACAGTAAAACAATACAATTAAACATGGCTGCGTCTGACACCATACTACTTTTGAGCCCTATTTTTCCAAGTTTATTGGCTAGGTAGAGAACATTTGCCATTACATTTTTTTTCAATGGCTCGGATTCAAGCCACACACGTATTAACCAATACACCAACTGGTCTGCTAAATGTTCATTCATGTTCAAGACCATTCTTGAATCCGTGCCAAAACTTTCAGCAGTCTGCATTGTCGAAACGAAACTCAACCTGATCTATCTCTTACCATTTCAGTGAAATGAAACTGAAATAAAAGTGTACACGGACTGAACCAAATGATAACCAAGTGATGCTATATACATTTTTCTTTTTCTTTTTTAACGTTAATTACATTCTAATAAAGTGTAGGCTGAAGTTATATGTGAATACAGTGAACTACTGAACATGTTCAAAATGTGATGGCATGAATGTTGTCAGTCTGGCACAATAGACAGATTCATTCTTACACATGGTTCATCCCAAAATAATTTAGTAGCTGGAACATTTGATTATCCTGCAGTGTGATATACAGGTAAGTCGTGTCTCAAACTTTGCTTATCAAACTCTCTAATAGCTTAAATCACAGGGCAACTTATGTTTTTATCTTTATTTTAACGAAGTGAAAGTTTATACAAACTGTAGGCCTACGAAATTGTAAATCTAATATCACATTAGCTTATTATACACTAAGGTGGTTGTAGGCTAATAGACTTTTTTCGAATGCCAATGTTTGATAGGGTAGCCTAATATATATACTTCGTTTTTCTTTTCAGCATTCTCATGATCCGATAATGCGGCATTGCTACATTTTTTTTATTCATTCTATGTGGTGTCTAAATTAGTACAACATTTCACTTTACTGTTTCGTACATATTTGTATTGATGCCCAGTTGTGGCAGACATTTTCTGAAAATGAAGTGTCCTCGATGTCACACGCTTTGTGAGGAGGGACAGCCGTTTTGCTTGAGATGCAACCCAATCGTCGAGGAAGAGAGAGGTAGGTAGCCTCGGGCCTTTTTTAAAAAGAGTGATGATGAGTCATGTCGGCTGTAGGGCTATTTTTTTTCAATCATTGACAAAATACACTACAAAATAGAAAACGGTATTCATTCAAACAACAATCTCTTCACTTGCACAAGTACCGGTAGATTGAATACATTTACAAAAAAGTATATCATAAAAACGTGAAAATTGGGCATTTGATCATTTCATTTTATGAATATGATATTTTACTTGTCTATATCTTATAACATTTTAATTAAATTAATCATAATTAAATCTGTATTGTATTCCCACAAACTACAACCTATCAAGGGAGTAAAATCTGGTGAAAGGAGTCATTGCCAAAATATTTGCCTTGCAAAGTGATTGGCCCTGTCCACTATTGGCCAGGGATTTTCATGTTAGGTAACCGATAAACTATGCTCTAGGTAGAACCTGTTCTTAGTCTTTGATCTAGGATCAACATAGTCTAACCTTGTTTGGGGGAAAAAAAACTAATCTGAATCTGACCCTAGATCAGTGTCAAGGGGTGGTCCTCTGTAGCTGAGTTGGTAGATCATGATGCTTACAATGCCAGGATAGTGGGTTTGATTCCTGGGACCACCCATATGTATGCACGCACGACTGTAAGTCGCTTTGGATAAAAGAGTCTGCTAAATGGCACAATTATTATATACTTATTCCTATCATCTATTGGCCCATTGTCTGTGCATAGGGAGGAGTGGGGGCTGTATCACGAACACTTGTCAGAATGAGGTTTAGTGCTTTCTCTCTTTGGTGAGATATAATTAAGCAATAATGCTTGAGGGAGTGTGGTATATGGCCAATATACCACGGCTAAGGGCTGTTCTTACGCACGATGGAACGAGGAGTGCCTGGATACAGCCCTTAACTGTAGTATATTGGTCATATACCACAAACCCTGAGGTGCCTTATTGCAATTATAAACTGGTTACCAACATAATTAGAGCAGTAAAAATAAATGTTTTGTCATACCGTGGCTGTCAGCCAATCAGCATTCAGGGCTCGAACCACCCAGTTTATAATGGAAAATGAAGCATCTGATAATGTTCCCCATCCTTTTGATGTGCTGCAACATGTATTTAATTAGCATTGTAACATAAGCTCATCTAATGTATTATCCCAAACATATTGCAGAGCCAGGCAGTCTGAAAGATGTGACCTATGACCGGGGTAGGAGTGGGGCGGCTGAAGACACCTTGCCAATGGACAGTTCCTCAGATGAAGAGGTAGGGTTTGCTGTTGCTCTTTCACACACAGGTTTTTGCAGACAGAAATGTGTTGTATAACTTATCATACAGAATCAATAACCTTCTCAGCTCAATATAAATATACAGTGCCTTGCAAAAGTATTCATACCCATTCGATTTCTTTACATATTTTAGCAGATGCTGTTATCCAGAGCGACTGCATACATTTTCATACTAGTCCCCCATGGGAATCAAACCCATAACCCTGGCATTACAAGCACCATACTCTACCAACTGAGCCACAAGTGACCTTGCAGGGATTTCTTTACATATTATTGTGTTACAAAGTGGGACTAACATCGATTTAATTGTGCGTTTTTGTCAACAATCTATTCAAAATATTCTGTAATGTGATAACTAAAATGTAGTCGTTTCATAAGTATTCAGTCCCTTAGCCTAAATTAGTTCAAGAGTAAATTTGGCTTAAAAAATAACATCATAAGTGACATGGACTCTCTGTATGAAATAAAAGGGGTTGACATTATTTTGGAACGACTAACCCTTCCTCTGTCCCCCCATACAACATCTGTAAGGCCCCTCAATCAAGTATTGAATTTCAAGCACAGATTCAACTACAAAGACCAGAGAGCTTTTCGAAAGCCTCATAAAGAACGGTAGTGATTGGTGGATGGGTAACAATAACAAATCAGGCATTGAATATCTCTTTAACATTGGTCAAGTTAATAATTATGTTGAGGATTATGTATTAAACCAGCGAGACACATCAAAGATACAGTCGTCCTTCTGAACTGAGCTGTAGGAATGAAATTGCTCAGGGACGTTACCATGAAGCCATTGGTGATTAAAACAGTTACAGAGTTCAATGGCTGTGATGGGAGAAAACTGAGGATGGATCAAAAACACTGTTGTGACTGATGGTGTGAAAAGAAGAATAGACATATACAAAAAGATTCCAAAACATGCATCTTGTATGCAACAAGTCACTAAAGTACATTGAACAAAAATATAAACGCAACATGTAGTGTTGGTCCCATGTTTCATGAGCTGAAATAAAAGATGCCAGATGTTTTCCATACGCACAATAAGATTATTTCTCTCAAATTCTGTGCACAAATTTGTTTACATTCCTGTTAGTGAGCATTTATTTCTCCTTTGCCAAGATAATCCATCCACCTAACAGGTGTGGCATATCAAGAAGCTGATTAAACAGCATGATCATTACACAGGTGCACCTTGTGCTGGGGACAATAAAAGGACACTCTAAAATGTGCAGTTTTGCCACACAACACAATGCCACAGATGTCTAAAGTTTTGAGAGAGCGTGCAATTGGCATGCTGACTGCAGGAATGTCCACCAGAGCTGTTGCCAGAAAATTGAATGTTCATTTCGCTACCATAAGCCTCCAACATCGTTGTAGAGAATTTGGCAGTACTTCCAACTGACCTCACAACCGCGTGTATGGCATTGTGTGGGCGAGCGGTTTGCTGTTACAATGCTGTGAACAGAGTGCCCCATGGTGGCGGTGGGGTTATGGTATGGGCAGGCATAAACTACGGACAACAAACACAATTGCGTTTTATCGATGGCAATTTGAATGCACAGAGATACCGTGACGAGATCCTGAGACCCATTGCCGTGCCATTCATCCACCGCCATCACCTCATGTTTCAGCATGATAATGCACGGCCCCATGTCGCAAGCATCTGTACACAATTCCTGGAAGCTGAAAATATCCCAGTTCTTCCATAGCCTGCATACTCACTATGTCACCCATTGAGCATGTTTGGGATGCTCGGGATCAACGTGTAAGACAGTGTGTTCCAGTTCCCGCCAATATCCAGCAACTTCGCACAGCCGTTGAAGCGGAGTGGGACAACATTCCACAAGCCACAATCAACAGCCTGATCAACTCTATGCGAAGGAGATGTGTCGCACTGGTCACACCAGATACCAGATACTGACTCGTTTTCTGATCCACGCCCCTACCTTTTTTTAAAGGTATTTGTGACCAACAGAAGCATATCTGTATTCCTAGTCATGTGAAATCCATAGATTAGGGCCTAATTTATTTATTTCAAAAGAACAGGCAAAATCCTAGAGGAAAACCTGCTCCAGTCTGCTTTACACCAGACACTGGGAGAGGAATTCACCTTTCAGCAGGACAATAACCTAAAGCACAAGGCCAAATCTACACTGGAGTTGCTTTCCAAGAAGACAGTGAATGTTTCTGAGTGGCCGAGTTACAGTTTTGGCTTATATCTACTTGGAAATCTATGGCAAGACCTGAAAATGTTTGTCTAGCAATTAATTTGACAGAGCTTGAAGAATTTTGAAAATAATAATTGGCAAATGTTGCATGGTCCAGGTGTGGAAAGCTCTTAGAGACTTACCCAGAAAGACTCACAGTTGTAATCGCTGCCAAAGGTGATTCTACCATGTTTTGACTCAGGGGGTTGAATACTTATCTATATTTTATTTATACTGTATATATACACACTACCGGTCAAACGTTTTAGATCACCAACTCATTCAAGGGTTTTTCTTTATCTTTTACTATTTTCTACATTGTAGAATAATAGTGACGACATAGAAACTATGAAATAACACATATGGAATCGTAGTCACCAAAAACGTGTTAAACAAATGAACATATATTTTATATTTGAGATTCTTCAAATAGCCACCCTTTGCCTTGATGACAGCTTTGCACACTCTTGGCATTCTCTCAACCAGTTTCATGAGGTAGTCACCTGGAATGCATTTAAATTAACAGGTATTCCTTCTTAGAAGTTAATTTGGGGGGGGGGGGGGGGTATACAGAAGATAGCCCTATTTGGTAAAAGCCCAAGTCCATATTATGGCAAGAACAGCTCAAATAAGCAAAGAGAAACGACAGTCCATCATTACTTTAAGACATGAAGGTCAGTCAATACGGAACATTTCAAGAACTTTGACAGTTTCTTCAAGTGCAGTCGCAAAAACCATCAAGCGCTATGATGAAACTGGCTCTCATGAGGACCGCCACAGGAATGGAAGACCCAGAGTTACCTCTGCTGCAGAGGATAAGTTCATTAGAGTTACCAGCCTCAGAAAATGCAGCCCAAATAAATGCTTCACAGAGTTCAAGTAACAGACACATCTCAACATCAACTGTTCAGAGGAGACTGTGTGAATCAGGCCTTCATGGTCGAATTGCTGCAAAAAAAAACAGTACAAAAGGACACCAATAATAAGAAGAGACTTGCTTGGGCCATGAAACACGAGCAATGGACATTAGACTGGTGGAAATCTGTCCTTTGGTCTGGAGTCCAAATTGGAGATTTTTGGTTCCAACCGTCGTGTCTTTGTGAGACGCGGTGTGGGTGAACGGATGATCTCCGCATGTGTATTTCCCACCATAAAGCATGGAGGAGGAGGTGTTATTGTGTGGGGGTGCTTTGCTGGTGACATTGTCTGTGATTTATGTAGAATTCAAGGCACACTTAACCAGCATGGCTACCACAGCATTCTGCAGCGATACGCCATCCCATCTGGTTTGGGCTTAGTGGGATTATCATTTGTTTTTCAACAGGACAATGACCCAACACACCTCCAAGCTGTGTAAGGGCTATTTTACCAAGAAGGAGAGTGATGGAGTGCTGCATCAGATGACCTGGCCTCCACAGTCCCCCAACCTTAACCAGATTGAGATGGTTTGGGATGAGTCGGACCGCATAGTGAAGGATAAGCAGCCAACAAGTGCTCAGCATATGTGGCAACTCCTTCAAGACTGTTGGAAAAGCATTCCAGGTGGAGCTGGTTGTAAGAATGCCAAGAGTTTGCAAAGCTGTCATCAAGGCAAAGGGTGGCTATTTGAAGAATCTCAAATATAAAATATATTTTGATTTGTTTAACACTTTTTTGGTTAGAACATGATTCCATATGTGTTATTTCATAGTTTAGATGTCTTCACTATTATTATACAATGTAGAAAATAGTACAAATAAAGAAAAACCCTTGAATGAGTAGTTGTTCTAAAACTTTTGACCGGCAGTGTATATATATATATTTATTTATTATTACTTTGTATTTATTTTTTACAAATGTTAAACATTTACTTTCACTTTGACATTACAGAGTATTTTGTGTAGATCGTTGACAAAAAATGACAATTAAATTAATTTTAATCCCACTTTGTAACATATTAAAATGGGGAAGAAGCCAAGGGGTGTGAATACTTTCTGTAGTTGTCCTTAAAATGTGTCCTCTTTTATTAAGCAAATTGCTTTGCAATTTGCAATGTGGGGAAACATTTAAATCATTCAATTGACTGAAATTTCAAAGGATAAAACCTTTCATTCTAGCTGTAAACATTTTTCTTTTCATTTGAAGGACTTTCATGATGCAAGTGATCAATTCCTTGACTTATACCTTGGGGAAGATGAGGACACATCTCAGAGAGTACAAGCTGACGGTCTGGACGCAGAGCCAGCTCAACATATGGATGCTGCTGTAGAAGGTGCTTCAATAATATTAGAGGAATGTATATAATTTACATATACTGAATCTCTGAGTTATTGGCAACCTTAGAGTATACTTTATAATTTCATAAAGTCAATATCAGTTTCTTTCCATTCACATGAAAACACTGCATCTGTATGCATATTTGGGAGTTGTAATTATATTTTGTTGTTGTAACCAGTGGTGTAGTTGAGAATAAACGCGCATAAATTATTTTTATTTTGTGCAGGAGTTTAACCACCTATGACGGAAAAGTGCATTGAAAATATAGGGAGCATTACTTTATTCACTGCGAACAGCCATAAGCAGTTACCCACCAATTTCTTTGGTTGTATTTGTTAATAACCATCACAGGTTGTATCCGTTTTTCACTACTAGCATAACAACAGTAGGGATGATGCAGTATAATAGCATTTATTTATAACCTTTTCATGCCTGAAAAGACAGTTGTGTTGAAAACTCTTCAATATGTATAGTCACTTGTTTTATTAAATCAATAATTTCAAATGTCATGGTATATCCCTGTGTGTAACAATGTCACGATGATAATATAATTATTTCTAATAAAACAAAGCTTTTACATTGTTATAATAGGCCTACAATTCATTTTCTCCAAAAATGAACATTCACACAAGTAATCGAATACTAACGTCCATTCGGATATTCAAATATTTGAATAACTGTGCCAATCCCTAGCTGCTACAACTCTTTTCCCAGAGATTAAACATTATTAATAACATAACTTTTTGCTCTCTTCCACAGAGCTTTCCTCCCCTGGAAATATAACAGTTCACTATGTTGGCAGTGACTCTGTTTCTCTGAGCTGGCTTCCTTTTGACCAGGCACAGAGGTACGAATTGACCTACTCCTGCGACACCCAGAGAGAGATCCTGTCCATCCAAGGCTCCAACAGCACAGAGGTGGAAGGCCTGGACCCGGGGACAGAGTACACTTTCAGCGTCACATCGTTCACTGACGATAGGAATCAGAGAGCGTCGGTCACATTGCCCATGTATACAAGTAAGTGCTTTGATTCAAACATGACCTGCTGCATTACAGGGAGAATAATGTTTCACTTGTGTTTTCATTATTCCAGTTATAATTGATTGGGTCCTTTTTTGTCCTTTTTGCAGAACCTGTGCCACCCGAAAAGATAAAGATAGATAATGTCAGCAGTGAATCAGTGTCTCTGAGTTGGGACAAACCGGTTGGTGTCATTAAGGCATGTCTCGTGACCTGTTCCTGTGACGGAGAGGAAGTCCAGAAGATAACAACAGAATCCAACACCCTGACAATTTCCAGTCTGATTCCAGGTGTCAAGTACTCCTTCCACGTTTCTACGGTGCTGAAGAACGGGACCCAAAGCAAGTCGGCTGTGACATATGCCCGCACAAGTGAGTGTATTAAGAATTTTACATTTTCCCTGTGTGACTGTGACAGGAGGATGTTTTACAATGGATTGATTGACAACCAAGGAGGTCAAATCTGAAACTGTTCTCTTTTCGTCTACAGAAACCCACCTGGAGAGCTTGCTGCTGGACCTGGGGTTGGAACAACACTACACAGAGAAACTCACCCTGAGCACCGTGCTGCAGATCGATGAGAAGACCGTCACTGATGAACCTGCTCAGACTCTCTCAGCCCTGCCATGGATTTTCCTAAAAAGGTTAATGATGGTTAATGTAACTGCTAGAAGTGTGAAATGCACCACATCAGGAGGCGAGGCAAGTTGTGATGCTTCATTTTGCAACATAGACCTAGATCTGGAGAATCTTGTTGATAACCTGGACTCTAGTAATATGGTAAACCCCTTAGACATTGTTACTGCTCTCTTTCTGTGCTCTAACAGTTTTCTGCAGCAAGAGATGGTCATGAAAATGTCAATGTGTCAGTTTTCTGTGCCCCTGCTTCTCCCCAATTGTGAGACAGAACAGTGTATGCTCATGCTTTGGGCAATGCGAGACATTGTCAAAAAGTTTAGACCTCATTCATTGGCAGACCCAAGAGGATTTGTTGAAGACAGGATTGTTTTCTCTGACCTCCCTATGGTCTCTTTTGTCAGATTGGGTGAGTGCTCTCTGTCCAAGTCACAGATTCTTAACAAGCTACTGAGTAATCCCCAACAGTATCACGACACGTTTGTCCACCATGACATGGAATGCGGTGATAGTCCAAGGAGGATATCAAATGGATTGGTTGAAATAAGCTGGTACCTCCCAAGTGGGAAAAAAAACATTGATATTTTTGGTGAAGCTGTTGCTGTAACCAATCTGAGAGGGGACATCAGTTCTTTTGAAACACAATATTCCTTTCTTTGCCAGACCTCTGCAGCAGTCTTTGTATTCTTTGACAACCTGGACACCAAGTACAAGCTACTGACCAGCCAACACACCAAGGCACAGCTGTTTCTGGTGGGTAACCCACAGAGCAAGAGCTTCAGCATTGCTGCTTTAAAGAAAACAGCAGCAGAGTTGAACTTGAAGAAAAGCAACGTCATCCTGAAAACCAAACAGATGAATGATGCAGACTTTGTGAAGAACCTGCGAAACACAGTTGGTGAGGTGATCAAGAGTTCAAAGTCCAGAATGCCATTGGAGCAGATGGTTGAAGTGGCACACGAGCTTGGGATCTTGGTTGATGAGGACTGCCAAGAATGTCAGAGTGCCAAGCAAAATGCGGATGCAATCACGTCAAAAATTCATGACACACCACAGTATAAGGAAAGACAGCTTCCCTTGCAAGGGCAGATATGGAAGGAGCTGGCACGTCTAGAGAAAGAGGAATGCAGACTGCAGAAAGCTGGCGACAAGAACATTGAGACGTACAAAAGTGAACTCCAAACAGAAAAAAGACAACTTAGGGAACAGCAAAGGAGGTATGACATGTCAGAGGCAATGACCTGCTTCATAAATGCAATATCAAGCACAGGACTAGAGAGGTCCTACTTCTTGAAATGGATGCGTATGAATCTGGACAATCTGTCTCGTAAAAACCTTTCTGGCCTTAGGGAGCTGTACAAAGAAAAGTCTCAGAACACATCTGAAAACAAAGAAGAAATTGCATACCTTGATAAACAGATTTCAAACAGTTCTTTAGGAACGGAACATTTCCTACGGGAAATGGGTCAACTGTACGAATCTGCGGTCTTACTGAGCGAAACTGAAGAGTCAAGGCAACAACTGCAGCATTTGCCCAAACTATGTGCTGAGTTGCTTCTGGATGGGTTTCCTCTGGAGCTGGTGGATGGAGATGCGTCCAACATACCTCTGAGATGGGTGAGTGATGTGCTGCATCAGCTCAATGTCTTGGTGCAGCCAAAGAACAAGATCCTGGTGGTAACCGTTCTAGGTGTTCAAAGCACGGGAAAGTCCACTCTACTGAATACTATGTTTGGAGTGCAGTTCGCAGTCAGTAGTGGCAGATGCACAAGAGGGGCCTTCATGCTTCTCATCAAAGTCAAAGATGACTTCAAGAAAGAGCTGAACTGCGACTTTGTAGTGATCATCGACACAGAAGGACTGAAGTCTCCAGAGCTGGCACAGCTGGATGACAGCTATGAGCACGACAATGAGCTAGCCACACTAGTTGTCGGGCTGAGTGATGTCACAATAATAAACATTGCCATGGAGAACTCAACCGAGATGAAGGACATCCTTCAAATTGTTGTCCATGCTTTTCTCCGGATGAAAGAGGTGGGAAGGAAGCCCAAGTGTCAGTTTGTCCACCAGAATGTGGCAGATGTCTCGGCACACGACAAGAACATGAGAGACCGGAAACTACTGTTGGAGCAATTGAACGAGATGACCCAGGCAGCAGCCAGCATGGAAAGCAAAGAAGATAACAAGATCTTCACAGATGTAATGGAATACAACCCAGAGACTGGTAACTGGTACATCCCTGGACTTTGGCACGGTAGCCCTCCAATGGCACCTGTCAACGCTGGGTACAGTGAGTCCGTCTACGAGTTTAAAAAAAACATGATTGAAGTTTTGGAGAAATGTGAGGCCTCTGGAAACAACATAACAGAGTTTCTGGAGTGGACAAAAAGCTTGTGGAATGCTGTGAAGTATGAAAACTTCATTTTCAGCTTCAGAAACAGTCTAGTGGCTGATGCCTACATGAAGCTGTGCACTGAGTTCCACAAATGGGAATGGTCATTCAAAAAGCACATGTACACTTGGGGAACAAATGCTGAAACAAGGATCTCCAACTTTGGGACAATCACTGTGAAATCTGAGGCATCAGACATGAAAGACTTGATTGGCAAATTGAAAAACAAAGCTTTGCTTGAGCTTTCCAAATGGGAGAAGACCATTCTTGACAACTTGACAAAGTATTATGAACAAACAGAAGGCCATGTGCATCTAGTGGAGGGATACAGAGAGGTATTCTCCAACAGTGCAAAAAGCCTTCGACGAGAAATGGAGAACTCTGTGCTGAATCAACTTGAAGCAGCTGCTGAGATCAGACAGGGAATGAACAATCTGGACACAATAAAGAAGACCCACACAGCAAGACTGGAAGAGAATGTGCTGGGATTAATTGATGAATGCAGGAAGAGCAAATCTAAGAAATCGGATAGGGAGCTAGAGAGAGATTTTGATCAGATGTGGAATGAAACTGTGCGGAAGTTGTCCTTCAAAGGATTGAAGAATGAAAACATTTGTGTAAAGATTTTTCGCCAGCTCCGTTCAAACCTGACCCGGAAGGGAAGTTCTGTGAATGAAATGATAGCTAGAGTAAGGCTGGAACAATTTGGAAAAGAGCCATTCAAAGTCCCTTCTGATGGGTTTATAAGGAAAGTAAAACAACTGTTTCACTTGGATGAACCACACACAGAAAACCCAGTTGATGGCTGACAACCTCATAGAGACTTGCAGACAATTTGTGTTGGAGAAGGTGGAAAGGAAAACAGATTACCATGATAATTATATTCTGGAAATCCTAAACATGATTGATGAAAGATTAAAAGCCAGCAAAGATCTTGAGACTGATGTCAACTTTGAAGTCTTACTAAAACTACATATCTGTGGAGCTGCAGCCAGGGAATTTCAGAAAATGCATGATCATTTCATACAAGTCAATGACCCACGCCGATGCCTTGATCTGTACAAAGACAAGTACTGCTCTGACTTCAAGGACTTGTTCAATGAACGAGACCAGTGTCAGACAAAAGCAGAAGAATTCACCTGCCTCTGCCTCAGACCTGCACTGGAAGAAAGTGTTGCCCATTCCTTGGGTCCAGATATCGTTGATGAAATGCTGACAGGAGAAAATGCCCTTCAATTCAGCACTCGTGCATTTTTCCAGTACTCAATCTTGAAACATTTGCTTTCAGAATTCAACTTTGAGAACTATGACAGCTACATTTGTTCGTATGAAAAGTTTGTCAAGAATTGGATATTTGGTCAAATCAAGGAGCGCTTTTCAAAGGGGCAAAAAATGTTTCAGTTGGAAGACAAACATCTGAAAGCAATCGTCAAGAAAATAATAGATGCCATAACAAAGGCCCAAACCAACAAAAAACAGCAACTTTGAGAAATTAATTCAGAACATTTGCAGGGAGCTTGGAGATACACTGGTCATTCCCAAGGATGCTCTGAGTGCCTTCATGATCCTCAATAATGCTGAACAAGAGCAGTTTGCCCACTGTCTCAAAACATCTGTTGAAGAAATGGAAAAATCTCTGAGGATCAAGTTCCAAGAGGGAGTGGATGCACAGAGGAAACTAGAACAATTGAGGATTAAACCACAGAATGTTCTTTTCAAAAGAGTGTTTGGCTGCGGGAAGCAGTGTCCATTCTGCAAGGCACCGTGCGAGGCAGGAGGAGAGGCCCACACAGACCACTGTGCCTCAATACACAGACCACAGGGTCTGGGCCAGTACAGGTTTGTGCACTCAAGGAAACTCGTGACTGATATCTGCTCCTCCTCTGTGTTCAGTGAGCAAAAATTCAATATGCTACGAGACGAATCAAACATACCATCCTTACAAAAAGTACAGAGACATTTTCCCTAACTGGCATATCCCGGCCGATCCCAGCATCGAGGCATCAGACTACTGGAAATATGTGATGGCAAAATTCAATAAGGAATTTGCCAAAAAGTATGACGCACTCCCAGCAATAACACCACCTGCCTGGAAATTGATCACAAAGGAACAGGCAGAAAAAAGCCTCAAAGAGTCTTTTAGCATCAATTGAGAGCCTATACCTCAAAGAGGAATTGTAATATAAGGAACAATGATTTGTCGGGCCATAGTCTAACAAAAGACATTACCTGCAAGAATAAATGTCAGATTTAATGTCAGATTTCAAATATGAATGATTCTAAATCTGTTTATGTACATTTTCACAATCAAGACGTGGTCCTTGCCATCTGCTTCATGAGCAGAATATTCTGTAAATTGAAGAGCCATGGAATGGGGGCTGGAATGATAATCTGTTATACACTGTGCCACTACTTGTCACTTACTCTGTTTTTGCATCACTTGAAAGAAATTCGCAAAAGATACATCAGTCCTTGAACTTGATGTGTCTACTTGGTAGGCACTGACAACAATCAATGAGGAATCTGTTTTCCAATGCTTTAAAGGGGCAATCAGCAGTTGCTTCATCCATTTTTGGACTTATAAATTAATCATCATATGTACCCATTGATTCTTGAAGAATATATAGTAACTTATGTCTCATGAGTTTAGTTCAACTGTCGTACCCCATCAGAACCCCAAATATAATCTTGTTTTGCTCCAACATTTGTAAACAAAGAAAATGTAAAGAAACACTAAATAGCCTCAAACATGGTTAAAACTATCATTTTGATATCATGGATGGTCATCCATAGCTCTTTCTATGAATTTGAGAGTGGGTAGATTTCTCCAGCCCCATCCCTCAGCTTTTTACCAAACCAGGGGTGGGGAGTTCCTTTGTTATTGTTTTTACTGCTGATTGCCACTTTAAACTGCTGAATATTGCCTCTTGAAGTCAACACATTTTTTGGAGAATCTGCCACATTACAATAATGGTTATTTTTACAGAGAATATTTCTTATCTAATTTTTGGGGGGTATTATTTACTAGCAGTCATTTATTGTTTGGGTTCTTATGTGGAGAATTTAATTTATATTTCATTTTTCTGTAACATTCATTGGGTTTGGTAAAATCAAGCATTGGTCTGACCTTTTTTTACTTACACTTACTGTAAGTGATTCAGGAAAGTGTTGAGAAACAATTATGTTTGAAAATTGTGGTGTTCTCTGAGACTAAAATTAATTTTAAAAACGTTTTACTTTCCAAAGAGACTTTGAGATTAAATATTCTATTGCGTTACTGTCCCTGTGAAATATCACTACTATTGTAGTAGCTTAATATTTAGATTAGATTGTGTACTTACTTACAATACTGTAAACTGAAGTACACACACAATCATCTTGACGCCTCTCACTGTATAAGTAGTTCCCACCAAATATATTCCATAATCAACTAATCACTTTCTTATATAATATATCAATGAAAAATAATCTTAACAGTTTGTCATTGAACTGGTCCAGTTTGTTGATGAAGAGTTGCAGTCAACACTGGTTATGAATGTCTTTAAAACAAAGTAGGCTACACCAACTGTAGTAAAAGTTCTATGTCAAATGTATTCAATGATTATATATTTAGAGAAAAATTGCTTCCATTGAATATAACACAAAAGCCGATGTAATAAATGTACTGGACTACCAGTTGAAAATGTAAAAATCAGGTTGCTTGTTATTGCATTGGTAGCACAAACAACATTGCTCAGTCATGAGAGAATGAAAACAGAAGGCTGACAACTTGAGTTTCATTGCTCAAACGTATGTTGTACCCTTGTCAAATTAGCTTCAAATGTTTTTACATTTAAATAAACCATTACCTTCAGAAATATATTGGATATACTTTGGATGTTTTTTGTTGATTTTCTTGTTGTTGGTTCGTTTCTTTTAATGGCCGAAGTAAAATGCTTTCTGGTTCAGATTCAGAGCAAGAGGTTAGAAATGGTATGCATTAAGGTTAGATTGGCAACCTTAGGTTTACAGTGCATCTGGTTGGATATGCCGGCTAAGATTTACAATGCATTACAGTGCATATGCTTTGATCACAGCTCACTGAGGGCAGTGAGACGAAGGGTGACCATTATCCCTCTGCTTCACCATGAAGGCCAAGGGGTCTCCTAGGGGCCGGCCCATCCGGCCCCTATGAGCTATGTTGAGGGCGTTGTGGGACGTATAGAGGTCAGAAAGGTCAGAGTTCATCCCAGAGGAGACGTACTCCCCACAGGTGGGGACCCCCAGTCCTGGGGCGCAGTCGACCTTGTAGGAGTAGTACACTGTTAAAATGTAACACTAAAAGTAGTGGCAACTGAGCTGTCACCACCTTAAAAGGAGACGAAACCTTAATTTGAAGTATTGAAACACATGGTTGTGAGGATATTGGGGCAGATTTAAGATGTACTGAAACATTCATCCTGAGGTGTTCTCAACATGGTGTGTTGTAACACCACACAATCAAGAGTTGTGCAACCCCTTGCCAGAGTCTGGGAGCACAAACCCAGAAAAGGTTGAAAACACCTGGTGTTTCGAGTCCTGTGTAGTGCAGAATTAGATACCTTCTTCTGGAGTTTCCAAATACTCTAAATGGGAGTCCCTCCTCTTATTGTATATTCCCTACTCTTATATGGTGTGTTTATAAACTCCTCATTGTGTCACGTTCGTTGAAGGACGGGTCAGACCAAGGCGCAGCGTGATATGCGTACATGTTTATTTAAACTATTAAACACCACGACAAAACAACAAAGGAAACGAAACGTGAAGTCCAAGGTAGAACACACAACATACCTTACCAGGAACAAGTTCCCACAACTAGACAGTGCCAATAGGCTGCCTAAGTATGGTCCCCAATCAGAGACAATGAGCGACAGCTGCCTCTGATTGGGAACCACACCGGCCAACATAGAAATACACATACTAGATAATAAACATAGAAAACGCACAACAAAGAATATACACACCCTGACTCAACATTTAAGCGTCCCCTGAGTCAGGGCGTGACACATTGGTAATTCCAAAAAGTCAAATGTACTGTAGTATGCTCAAACAAAGGACACAAGAAAATATAGTTTTGTGAAAACATAAATTAATAAATGTGTCCAGGATAATAATTCATGAGTACAAAATCACTTTTTCAAGAAATTATTTTGAAGCTTCAAATGCTTTTCTTTGCAAATTATCAAATGACAAAAAATTAACAGGTCTTTCACATTTGTATATTGATATGTAAGGTATTTATCATATTAATATTCTTCCAAATCAACAGAAATATGGCATTATATTTCACACTCATGGTAAATAAATACAGGCAATGACTGCTAATGTTAGCAGTAGCACTTACACAAAACTTGTTAGCAGTAGCGAGAAGGGCTTTCCAAGAAAAACTTCCAATAGGACTAATTTGAGGCAGAAAGGAGTTGGAGCACTCAACAAAGGTTGCGATTGATTGATTTAGCTAACTTTAATCCATTGTACAGGACGAGAACAGGTAACTGACATTTCGACGTCAAGCTGACGTCTTCCTCAGAGTGACCTGACCGTTGCACTTAGCTCTTATTTATAGCCTAGTGGCCCATTGAGACACAACAATGTAAGAAAATAATATTAACGTGATTCAAGGTAAATGGCAAATTATAGCACAAAGTAATACTAATAAGAAGAATCATGTGTCTCGTTAGGCAACAACATTATAGAAACGGGGACTGTGAAAAATCATTGTTTAGCCCCTTAGGATCCACGGTGTCTAACGGGTACTGCCAGAATGCCTCTTTTTGTTTTACTTTAAGTAAGATGTCACCTCCTCTTGGTGAAATGTGGACGTGTTCTATGGCTACAATGCGCAGGGAGGAAGGTGAGCCATGGTTGGCTTCGATGCAGTGGCGCGCAATATGAATGAGGTCCTTGTTTTTATTACGAATAGCAGCCGTATGTTCTGTTAGCAGTAGAACTTAGACAAACTTCAGCCCAGGGCTCAATATCATCTACCAGTCATCCATTATGCTAATGTTTCTGACCTGAGTCTTTATATTCAGATGATGGTACATGGCATGGAAGGTTGTTCAGATGGATTGAATCACAGTACAGTTGAGTTAGATGATATGATTGACAGTTGACAGTTCAGTTGGCATTAGTCTGTGATTCTTGTCTTGATTGGCTTTGGTTAGGATTGGTCAGCCAGTGGGTAACGTAGTATGTATATATGTATGTATGGTTTTCTGCAGGGAGACAGAGAAATAGATAATAATAACAAACAATAATGATAGTACATGAGTGCATAATTATGCTATAATATTAAGAAATTGCAATATGAGTATACAATTTGTTGGAGCCAATTTGGGTGTATCTTGTATTATGGTCATATTCGGGCAATTACACTCCAGACCATTAGGTAGAGATAAATGGTGGTGGTAAACACACATTAGGTGATCTATAAACACACAGGTGTTTGAACGTGGATGGTGGGAGAGCTCACGGTTCTTACCGCAATCAAACCAATGCAAATGAACGCAAGAAAACGCAAGAAACGCCAAACAAGATACAAAGGATTGCTACAGTCAACTCTACGGATCAACATTCATTCATTCAAGGTAACCACTATTGCTACGTTTGAGGCGCGTAAAGAACAAGTCTAATTGCTACCTTCCACTCACCTAGTGACATTGGCTACTTAGAAATCTTATATTTTTCCAAAGCAGATCATCATAACACAATTATTAAACATTAATAGAAATATGCAAAATGCCTACATGATTAAGCTATGCAAATATAGCAACAAGATAACCATATGAATGTCAAAAGTAGTATGCAATAACATGTGGCGTGGTAGGCCAATGCTAGAACTGGCTAATTTGGCAGTGGTATTTAGTGTAGCATATAACATGTGGGTCACACATCAAACAATAGATAAAGCTCACAAAGGTAGTAGGCAAACAAGCCAGCAATATTAACTAAATCAGGCCTTAATTTGTATAAAAAACAACTGAACGAAAGGGGCAAACCTTGACGTGTCAATTAATAACTACATATAGCATCATGAAAACTGATTAATGAATCAAAATGGCTGTTTGACTATTAGCATTAACGGCCGAAATGCTACACAAAACAAAACGCTCAAACTATGTGCTGACTGAAT